CCCCTTTGAGGGAGATGCAAGTGAATATGGGACTTTTCTTCAATCATTCAAAGAAGTGGTTGCATCAGTGCACTCAAACACACACAAATTTGTGATGCTAAAAGGGTATCTTCAGGGAGAACCTCTTCAACTTATTAAAAACATCAATGTTGACAATGGGGCTTATGAGGAGGCACTTGATACGCTGAGACGACATTATGCTTCTCCCAAGAAAATTGTCAGGAATTTAACAACTCGACTGCTGGAAATGTCAACTCTAAAAATGAACGACAGTGCTGAACTACGAGAATTGTCTCAAAGAATTCAATCCATCATCAGGGTGTTGAAACAAAATACCCTGCGAGCTGATTTGAACAGCATAGTTCTCATGGAACAAATTAAAGACAAGCTTCCTTCAACTCTCCAAACAAAGTGGAATGAACTGGAAAGAGAAGATTTACTACCTGTCGCAGGAACGCAGCTTGAATCACTCTCCAAGTTCTTGAAAGCTACACTAATTGACTGGGAGGATGTGTCTACGTCTAATGTTTCCAACGCTAAAGAACGAAAAAGAAACCCTGCAACGAAAAACAATTCAAGACCCTTTGCTTCAGCAAATAATAAGGGCAAGGGTGACACCTGCCTCCTTACTGCAGAAAATGGGAAGGAAATCAACACCCCAAGAAGGGCCACAAAATACTGCCCCCACACGTTTTCTTTGTTGGTACTTAACAAGTTTACAATGGAGATGCGATTTAACGGAGACGTGGTCTTTATACTCTTACGATTCCGCATATTACAGACGGACCCCACAAACGCTTGTTTAGTATGTTGTGAAGAATGCAGGATAGAAAAACCTTGTCAACACTGTGACAAAGCTCACCATTCCTCACTGCATGATGGAAAACCTGTGTGTGAAAGCAAAACAACACCCAATAAGCAAGAAGAAAATCGCCACGCATCGGGGGGAGAGGCAAAGGGAGGCCATAAATCTGCAACTGAAGTCAGTGCTCTTGCCACTTATTCTCGAGTCACCCCACTCCATATTGTGTATGCAGAAGTAAGGGGACCCAAAGGAATTAAAGAGGTTGGAGTTCTTCTAGACAATGGAAGTTCATCTACATTAATCACTGAAAACTTGGCCAACAAGCTGGGACTATCCAGAAAACTTATTGAACGCACACTCTTTGGCATAAACTCCAAGGAAACTGAAATGGCTGGGGAAGTGAAATTTGATATAAAACGCCAGGGAGTGGGTCCTTGGCATACAATTGAACCTGCCTACACCAAAAAGCGTATTGCCTTACCCAGCCTGAAAGTAGCATGGGCAGACTGGATCAAGACTAAGCCACAATTTGCCAACTTCAAAGTGAAAAATATTGACTACGAGGAGGTGGAAGTAATTGTTGGGGCAGATCAATCAGATTTAATTGTCCCCCTTGAAGGAACCTACGTGAAAGATGTGGCAGGAGGAGTACGAGGTTACAACACAGAACTGGGTTGGACTCTAACTGGAAAACTAAATCTGCCTATGGTTGAAGAATTTACATTATTCCATTCAGAAGGATTGCTGACAGAACAAATGCGGAAGTTTATTGACTTGGAAACTCTAGGAATCATGCCAACCCAAGAGAAACAAAAAACGTATGACATCAGCTGCTGGGAGGAAAAATTCCGCAATGAAGTATCTTGGGAAAACGGGCGAATGACAGCACCTATGCTCTGGCGTAGCAATATTAAAGTACCCGAATCAAAAGTTCAGGCAGAAAGAAGATTAAAACTTTTGGAAGCCAAGCTGCAGAAAAACCCTGCATTGTGGGAAAAATATGCAAAAACATTCACAGATGATGAGGAAAAAGGGTATATTCGTCAGCTAAAGCCAGAAGAAGTCACACAGTGGGAAAAAGGGAGGCATTACTACCTACCTCACTTCCCAGTTTTCCATCCTGACAAGCCTGAAAAGGCAAGACGAGTCATGGATGCAAAGTCAAAAAATCAAGGTGTAAGCCTGAATGACCTTGTGGAAGTGGGACCCAATTTGCTGGTGAACTTGGTGGGAGCTCTACTCCGTTTTCGAATGGGAAGAATTGCAGTTAACGCTGATGTGCAAGAAATGTTTCCACAAATAAGGGTTAGGAAGGAAGAACAAAGCATGCTGATGTTCAAATGGAGACCTGAAGCCTGTGGGGAAGTACAAACATATGCTAGCCAAGTACACATTTTTGGAGCAGCATGCTCCCCAGCAATTGCAAATTACTGCATTAAATTGGCAGTAGAAAAGGAAGGTGATCCAAAATTGACTGAGCTAGCTACCTCCAACCTATATATGGATGATCTCTATGCATCATTTGATGATATTGAACTTGCATGTTACTACAGCAAGAAACTCCAAGAAACACTAAAGAAGAATGGGTTTGATCTGCAAAAATGGAAAAGCAATATTCAAGATTTGTTCAGCACAAAAAATCCAGAAGATAATGGAGAGAAAGCTGTAAAAATTATCCAAGATGGTGAAATGCAAATTACCAAGGCTTTAGGCCTGAAATGGGAACTCAAACAGGACTTGTTTTCATTTTCAACAAGAAAAGGTGACCAGGAAGTTCGAACACCAGCAGGATTTCTTTCAATACTTGCCAGTGTCTTTGACCCTTTAGGGTTCTATGCACCTTACAAAGCAACAGGGAGCATTTTAATGGGACAAGTTTGGAGGGCAGCCAGGCAATGGAAAGTAGAAGTGAAACCTGATTTGCAAATACCTTGCCAACAATGGGTTGATCAATTACAAGAGCTGGAATCTTGCTGTATCCCAAGGTGGATAGGAACCACATTATCAGATGAGCTGACTTTGCACATATTCAGTGATGCATCAGAAGTGGCTTATGGTGCTGTGGCCTACATTCAAGCTAAGGACCAAGCTCCCAACCTACTGTTTGCAAAAACCCGTTTGGCACCAACTCGCATAATCAGCATTCCAAGACTTGAACTCATGGGTGCACTAATTGCTGTCAGAATGGCAACTGTATTGCTGCAGGAATTGTCAAGCTACAACTTCAACAGAATAATATTCTGGACGGACAGCACCACTGTGCTTAGCTGGGTTTCCACTCCAGCATCAAAATTCAAGGCCTTTGTTGCTAACCGAGTCAGTGAAATACAAGAGTCCCTGGATTCAAAACTGTTCTCATCTCGGCTCACAGAGTTCAAATATGTGCCAACAAAAATTAACCCAGCAGACCGTTTGTCTCGCGGATTATGCGCAGAGGAAATGAAAATTCAATGGGAAAAATGGCTGCATGGGCCAGATTTCTTAATGCAACCTGAATCAGAATGGCCTCAAAGAAAACAGTTCTCATTGGAAGCAAAAACAGACACTAATGATGAAGTTCGATCAGAATCACCTTGCTTTGCTACCATTCAAACCTCTGAGAACAATGCATTGCAGAACAGCAAAAGCTGGGAAGAATTTCTTGAAAACCAGTCAAATGAGGAAGCACTGACTCCTGAAAAAATCAAAAACATTGAGAAGGAGCAAATTAGGCTGCATCAAAAGGAGCAATTTTCAGAAGAAATCAATCTCTGTAAGAAGCTACCACAAGACAGCAAAGTTCCCTTTTCAAGAGGGACCCTTAAAGGTCTCATTGGATATTTGGATGGAGATAAAATACTTCGAATGGAATCAAGATTTTCAGAAGCTGAATTTATGCCAATGGATGAAAAATACCCTATCTTCATAAAGGGGGGTACAAAGCTAGCAGAGCTGTTCATCATGCATGCTCATGAAAATGCTTCTCATTTAGGAACTGATTATACAAGATCACAACTTCGAAAAAGATTTCATGTGACAAAGTCACGGGTGCATGTCAAGAAGATTGTACTGAAATGCAAAACATGTCAACAAAAACGACTGATACGTCCAAAAGTACCCATGGCACCCCTGCACCCAAACAGATTGCAATTGAAGGTCAACCCATTTTCTTCAATGGGGATTGACCATTTTGGGCCTGTACAAGTACAGAGTGGAAAATGGTGGGGTCTTGTATTTATTTGCATGACCACTCGGGCCATTCACATTGAACCAACAAAAACAATTAATGCGCCATCATTTCTCCTGGCATTGCAAAGGTTCATCAGCCAAAGAGGCCCACCTGCAAATATATATTGCGATCAGGGCACAGCCTTCAAAGGGGGGCGCAGCGAACTTATGAGGCTACTAAAAAATGCGAATGTGCAAACCTCAGCAGCTATCAGGTGGCGGGTTGAATTCCACCTTAACCCTCCAGGTGCCCCACATTGGGGAGGAAGTTGGGAGCGAGTCATCAAAGAAATAAAACGAGGGTTAGACATTACACTCCAGAAACACAAAACTCGTTTAACCTGCGAAGTTTTTCTGACAGCTCTCACGAATATTGAGGGAGACTTGAATCGTCGACCCATCAGTTTTGATGATGATCAACGACCAATTACCCCCTGGCAGATCATAAACCCTGCTGGAAGCGAGAATTCTGACATCCCTTGGCAAAATTCCTGGTCAAAAGCTATAAAGAATGTTGAACAAGTTTGCCGGTCATTTTGGAAATCTTGGCTGGTTTTTTATGTGCATTCTTTGAGAATTTCCAGGGTACCTAGGGGATGCAAACCTGAGCTTCAGCAAGGAGAAAAGGTTCTCATTGATGACTGCCGTGGTAATGCCTTTTCCCCGGAATGGACTGCGGGACAAGTTACACAGACACTGCCTGGCAGGGATGGACGGGTTCGAGCAGTCAAACTGATGACAGACAAGGGAGAGAGACATGTGGCCATCAACCGCATCATGCAATATGAAGTTCAAAAGGATGACTGCAAGGAAGACAGCACCTGAAGAGGAAAGAGTCCAAAAGGATGCCCTCTTTCGGGGGGAGAATTGTGGAAATATTTGTACATTTTTGCAAGAGAAACAATTGTGAATAACGCGCGGTTGCACCTGCAATGTAGCGTAACCGTTGAAAACTAATTGGCTCCCTACTGTACAACAAGTGAGCTTGTTAACGAGCAAGCTTGTTAGAATGCTCCATTAGTCTTGGGGAAAAGCCATAAAAGGGGAACGCGAACCCCAAATCTTCGTCATTTCTTTGCCAAAAGCAAGCCTGTCACCAAGAGCGTCAGAAGAGCATTAAAAAATTGTATTGCGTCTTGGACTGCGTTTAATTTACACTCGGCGTCTACCGTTACGGACAGCGTCTCTTCAGCATTCGTGAGACTGGAAACTCAGTGAAAACAAACTCTACTCAAAAAATCATCACAGGCGAGGTTGAAAAAAATTGGACTAATCAATCTTCAACCAGTAATATCTTCCTTACAGCTCCAGGAGTCCTCTGAAATATCACTTGAAAATATGGAAATACAGTGCGTATGTTTGGCTCACTGCTTGTTCAGAACCATGACAGAACAACAATCAGAACATAGGACAACAATCAGATCAAATAGAAACTACAGGACAACAATCAGATCAAATAGAAACTACAGGACAACAATCAGGTCAAATAGGACAAAAATCAGATCAAATGGAACAACAATCTGAACAACTAAAATGAATTGAACAATCGAAACAAGCAGAGCAAGTAAAACAACCAGGTGTCACAGCAAGACAGGCGTCACAATAATAAATCAACCCAACCAAGCAAACACTTCGGCAAGGTTGATCAGAAGAAATTAGACCAATCAATCAACAACCAGTAATACTGTACCTTCTGAACAATTTGAAGGAGTCCCCAGCAGAATGTCCTTAAAAAAAAGGACGTTCTGCGGGGAGACGGTTCTGCAGGGTTCGACTATTTACCTGAAAGACAAGAGAATCCTCTTTCAGTGGGTGTCCAGAAGTCAAATTCTTTTGGAAAAAATTTGTCCCGACGAAACGTAAAACCACTGAGTCCGGATCATTGCTTCTGACAGTTCCTCGCCATTGAATGTCCCTCATGTCATAAACTGTCACATCGTCATCGGAAACAGTGCCAATATTCGCAGTATCTTTGATGTCCCTATACTGCATGACCTGAAAGCAGGAAGAAATTGTGTAACACAGGTGAACAACGAGACATTTTCTGTGTGAGCAACCCTCCTGGACGGTAAACCTAACAAAGAATTTTTGAAGAAAGACAAAGATACAAAAATAGAAACAACAGCAACCATAATACATTTTGCTACTTTGCATACTCACTCAAATTAATTCTAAAATCATTCCACGCAATCCTTGAAGTTATCACCTCTACGAAATATTCATCAAACCGAAGTCAATCTAGCCAAAATATCAATTCTTTCCCAAGAACATCTTGGAACTACTGGCACAGCTGAAACGCAAAATAAAGATGGACTCCCTCTACAACGTAATTCAGGAGACCAGAAAAAAATTCGACGCAAAGAACCTCTACAAATATGGATAGAGATTCCTACGGGATCACAAACAAATTCATTATATGGAGAAAAACTTCGTAGAAAAGATCGTTGTGGAAAGAGTCTACCTGTATTCCATTTAAATTAGAATATAATCTTCAATTTTCATCAACTACCAGGGTTTGCCTTCTCTGATAAAACGAATAGGTTCGAAACAGGCTCTCATGTGACCACTCTCTGGTACTGAATAAAAGGGCAAAGTAAAAATTATTCGGAGAGGGTTCAAAAGAAAACGATAAGCTCGACAAAGTTAAACCCCTCGCGACACTAAATTATGAACTAAGCTTTCTCGGGCCCAGAAAAATACGTGAACAAGACTGGAAAGATTCCGCAGGATGCATGTTGCTCATTTGCTTAGTAATCAACACAAGACAACGAAAATTACCAGAGGAACGATAATTCCAAAAGAGAGTAATGGATCTTCGGAGAACTTGATGTCACTCATGACGCCTTCGGTTCCATTTGCATTCCAGCGAATGTTAACTTCAGTGTCCAACTTCGTCAAGACAATAACTAACGAAACTCCTCCTCGACTCGCACCCCAGAGGTAATGCAGAACGTCGTCAGGTCCCGTGGCATTAACATGCGCCAAAGAATAGTTCTCATATCCACCTCCGTATAAGTTTAATCCTAATTCACGTTTCTCGTTCGCCAACACGCGTTTCCACATAGAAATGGCCAGCACAGCCTGCCAGAGATACATTCTCACAGCCATTCTTAAGATAGAAATCTGGAACAGGAAAATACCTTTAATCAAAAGAAAAAAAATTTATAATACTGCGATGAAATGCAGCACACCATGGGTAAAGCTTTTCAAGGTGTTGAAACAGTCGAGCGCATCCAAACAACAGTTCACATGATGCAAAAGTCACACTCAAATCATCATAAAAATATTGACTACTGCGCATACTCAATTATACGAAGTTGTTTCTGTAAGCCGAAAAAATCATACTGTGACGATCAGAAAATACTTCATCTCACATCTGACCAATACTGCAATATTTAGCATATAAATAAAACCGAGAAAAAATCACTCAAAAACATTATCAGTTGCTTCATAGCAAAATCATCAGAACAAGTGCCGTAAAGTGAGGAAGTATGTCTATCAATAGACTTTCAAATAATTTCAACATAAAATTCATGTTTAATGCCTCCCAGCAATTAAACTTGAGTTTCCATAAACATGAGCATGGCAATTCCTTTAAAATTTATCGGAAAAAGTCATTTTTGAAGCACAAACAAGAAAGGTACACCTTATAATCGAGGACTTCAAACATTCAAGGAAAAAAGGCTTTTCAAAAATTCGCGCCACACACGGATATTCGCGATCAAGAAGCACTTATACACTACATTTTAATTTTAGCGAAATATATTTTAAGTACTGCAGCTTCATTTATAACACCGCTATTGTCTAAAAGAGATTTCACGCGGACTGCGTCACAATCCGAAAATTAAAGCATTACAGGAAATTTCTGTTCTATTTTTGACACTGTAAAAAGCGTTCTTTACAAATGCTGCTTTGTCCCGTTCAACACACCCACTGTTCTTGGACGCGCTCGACTATCCGGTCACGGCATCACAATATTGAAATAACGGTAAGATAAATCCTGAAGAACACAAAACACAGCGATCAGGGAACTTGAATTCCTTTCTTCTCGAAGATTAAAGCTTTCAAGGACGCAGAAGATCAAAAACCTTGAAAGGAAAAGCTACACCTGGAACTACGGAAAAGGTAGTAAAAAGTAAAGTACAAACAACACTTCTTCGCTTCTTCAGAGAAAGGTAAAAGAACAGTGACAAATGTCCACAAATCCACCATTAAAAACAAATCGCAACACGATGAAATCCGAAGGCTTCTGAAGACGCCCTTCAGAAGCCGATCACAGCCTACTTCGGGCAATTTTTCACAAGCTACGACTCATGAAAAAAAAAAACTAAAAGCTGCTCACTCGTTCATCACGAGTTCTTCGTCCTCGTCTTCAAAGTTGCTCAATTCACGCACGTCGGGAAACCACAGAGACACAACCGAGCACCCGGTCGCCAACAACATATGCTTGGGCGAGAATTTCACACACCGAATCGGATCCGAAGACGAATCCGCTTTCAAAACACAGACCTTGTATCCCTTCTGGGCATTCCACACATGCACTCGGCCGTCCGTCGAACCGCAAAATATAAACTGGGAATCTGGCGAGTAACTGGCTTCTAATGGAACCCCGCTCCTGTTTGCGTGACCACTGAGATTCAGATTCAACTTGGTCCCCGTGAACGCATCGAACACGTGGATCTGGTTCTTTGATATCAGCATAATGTGCCGACCGTGAGGACTGAACTTGATCCCGGTGATATCTTCCACAGACTTGGAAGTAATTCCGTGAGGCACGGATTTGAAAGGACCTTTCGATAGGAATCGAGCATCAAAAAGCGATATGCTGTCGACGGTAGGGAATGCCGCAAAAATTGCGCCTTCGGGGTCGTAACTAACGAACGGTCGTCCATCTGCAGAACAGAAGGGGATAAATACAGTTCTGAAAGACAAAGTCAAGTTTCACTCCACACAGAAGATGCTTCAAAAAGACGAGAAAGCGTACAAATTAGCTCTCTGTTTCCAAAACCATACAGTATATAAATTTATCCTCAACAGTCAAGCGCGGGGAGGACAAGCGCGCGCAAAGAAATCTAAGATCCCCTTCATTTCAATGCCCTCCAAAACTCCTGAAAATCGCACGCAAATTTCACCTGAATCACAAACCCCACCAAAAATATTCTAATCCAACCCAAACTAGAAATGTTTTGACCCAAAGAAATGCTAAGAACTTCCAGCGAAGCCTGCAAATTATAGTCAAAATGACGTTCAAATCCAAATAAAAAATTAATTCAATTTAACGTTAGGCCAGAGGTCTAACATTTTTTTCAGAAGAACCGACTTCTAATTATACGAACTTGAATGAGTATGAAACGTAATACTGTTTCAATAATAGAGTTGGACTTTCTCTAAAAAGAAATTTAGGGGACCAGCAAAAAATGTTCTTTGGAGAACCTGATGAGACCAGAACAATTCATTGTGAAGAGAAAATCGTTGTAGGAAAAATCTCAAAGGGAGCCTAACTGCAATAATGATAATTTTATATGAACATAGGAAAGGTGGATAGCGTGCATTTATTTCGTAGACGGAAAAATCACCAGTAAAAAAATAACAAATGAACGAAACTGCGGCAAATGGCGCAACTTAATGGAGTAACTTTTATTCAAAGACTGGAAGATGAAAAGAAACCGGGATTACTTACTGATCTGTAAGGTATGAACTGCATTATTATTTCGCAGGTCCCACAATCTAACAGTCCTGTCGAGTGATGCACTCAAGAAGCATCCATCTCTCGGCGACATATGAAGTCCACAGACCCGCTTTCCATGACCTTTGAAGTACCGTATGTATTTGTTGTCCACCAAACTTAAATATCTATTCCAAAAGACAGAGCATATATTATACTGCACAGTATTCGCATTTTCGGTGTTGGAAGGTGTCTCACCTCAAAGTATCGTCGATTTTCGTTGACGCGTATATCGCAGAGGATTTCGACCGAGGCGCGAACTGAACCAAATCAACACCGTACTTCTTCGAGAAGATCACGTTCTTCTTCAAACCAGTGTCACAACCGTAAACGACAATCTGATCGTCTTCTCCACTGCCCACCAGCCATTCCGCATTTGGAGAAAAGTCCAGATGATTGATTCCGAGTTCAAATTCGCGTAAAACTCGGGCCTGGCGGAGACTGCGAACTGCCTCATCATCCAGTTTCATACCAGTCACTTCTTCTGAATTTCTATTCATGATAAATCTTGAAAGGTAAGAAAAATCTTATTCAACCAAAACAGACAACAAATAATATAAAAGCGACAACAGACCGATCGCTTCGTGAACAACAACTGCAGAAATTCCAAACTTTCGAAATCCTTCGGGTTTAAAAGGGAAAAATGCATATACTTGAAAAAAGAATACACTACTTTCTCGCGAAACCCCGCTGAATAAAAATATCTCCCAATGCATCATTGCAGCAAAAATTGTAACCTAACCCAACATCGAAGTGACTCGAAACCTCACGCACTGACGGTGAGCGTAACCAGATTAAATTATGACAGCACTACACTAAATCAAGTTACCCAGCACCCAAACTAAAACACAGCAAAGTCATCACGAACCATAAAAAACACTAACCCAACCGTCAGAACTTGGAAATATGAGCATCGATCAAGAGATTATGTGAGAATAATTCCAATTTTAACCCACGTTGGAAATGCTGCAGAAGTAGTATTCGACGAAAGGTGTCGCAGTTCTCGAAGCAAAAGACAAGTTTTAAATCGAAGGTGATTGTGTTCAATATTTTTCGTTGAATCAGTACAATTCCATAACGTACAAATCAATAAAATATCATGATCTCCCATCAGTGTTCCGCAATGTACATCATAATGCTGATAACGGAAACGAATCGTCAACAAGTGGTCCATCAAGGCAGCTCCTCATTCAATCAAAAACTCAATCGAGATATTTTTCAAGCATCTTGGACCCAAGACCTACACAAAAAAAGGGGAAAAGTCCATATTGGAGCTCAAAATCGATGAAACAATTGCACCACAGTGGATGAGCCGAACACTGAATTCCGTCACGGAAAACAATTCGAATCCTTCGGAAACCTTTCACACGCTTTGAAAAGAGGGAAATGGGCTTCGATTGAGCGAATGATAAAAAATACAACTTTGATTCTCATTCAAGCAACGTGAGACCCTCGGGAATGGATAAATACTTCGGTGGAATCCTCCCAATAAAAAAGGAAAAGAAAAGAGAGAAAAAAAATAGTAAAAACTCGCACTGATAATACGAGCAAAAATGTTATTTCGTTGCTGATAACAACTGGCTTGAACCGAGGCACCACAGAAACTGTGTTTCGTCAAAGCGAACCTCAGGAAAGTTTGCTTCAGATCAAGGATTCATCCTCTTTCCGTTCGAAAAAAAAAACAAAACAAACGAATGTCAAGTAAATTCAACATACGCCTTTCAAAAAACGGAATCTCTAACAGAGACTCAGACAAGTTCATACAAATGCGCGTAAAGTCGAAAACGGTAAGAATAGTCATAAGGTAGCTCATATCAAAGAGCTCCTCCTCAAATTTGGTGCGCTAATGAAGCGTTCCAGTCAGGACAAATCAAAGTTTCTTAGAATAGAAAAACAAGAAAGAAATGTTTACTGTCAACAAATTTGCTAGCAATGAATGGAGTTATACAATTTTAAAATTGTAATTCTTCGTAAAACGTGATGAAAAGTTTTTCAAATCCCGGGAGAATAAGGCAACTTTTGTCTGCCACGAAAGAACACCCATCCACACGTGAAGAATGCGACATTATTGGAATCTTAATTGCATAAATTATCGAACATGGTCCCAACATACGAGAAGATATATAATGTGACAGTCCAAGACTAGTGAAAACGAAGGCAATCCCTGTTGAGCGGAAGAAAGATTTCACGACAAGAGCGTCAAAGTCACGTTCCCTTCGGCGTTCTTGATTATCTCCACGGCTTCGTGATGCGTCAGCCCCTCGAGAGTATGTCCATTGACTGCCAAAATCTGATCGCCTCTCTTCAGCCCACCTTGCAGAGCAGCAGCACCTTTATCGAAAACAGTTTTCACGTAAATCGGCAAGTCTCCGTGAGCACTTCCGTGTCCCCCGACGATGGAGAATCCAAGGCCATCAGGACCCCGGACTAAGGAAACAATCCTCGGTTGCGGAGGTGACACCATCGCCGCTTTACTCGAAGACACCAGCGAGGATGAAGAAGAAAGAGAAGATGACGAGGACGACATGTTGTTTGGTATCGATGCAGCAGCAGACGGAGCAGGAGGAGTCGTGGCGGAAGAGTTGGCAGCAAATGCTGCTGCCGCGGCTGCAGCAGCCGCAGCGGCAGCTGCTGCCGGCTTTAGTCGCCCCAATCGCAATCGAATATGCCCAAGCGAGTTCTTCAACAAAGCAGCCACTTGTTCCTGAGACGCTGTCTTCAGGTCTTGGTCATTCACGGCCAGGATTTGATCGCCTTGCATCAAACGACCGTCCGTGGCGGCAACTCCGCCGTCCACCACTTCCGATATGAAGACCCCGGGCCCGTTTTTCCGTCCCACGATGCTCAATCCGAGTCCGCGATCCGGTTTCTTCACGATGTCCACGTCGAAAACATGAAGCATGTCGTCTTCGGCACCAGTGAGACCTTCTTCGCGGAATACCGTTAGTCGAACGCAGGCAGAAGTTTGACGCAGGGTCGCCAGAGCCTTGGCGTGAGTGGCGTCCCTGAAATCCTCGCTGTTCACTTGCAGAATTTGGTCACCCGGTCGGAGTCGACCGTCTTTCGCAGCTGCGCCGTCGGGATACACTTCGTGAATGATAATGGATCCCAAAAGCGTGTCTTTGCCACCGACGATGCTCAAGCCGAGCCCCATTTTGTCCTTGTTGATTTCAATCGTCGTTTCCCGACCAGGTTCTATGGGACACACAAGAGAGAATCGTCGGTCTGTTGGCTCCTCGGGCTCTTTTATTGGTGCGGTCGCAGCGGATTTCGGGGGCACGTTCGGTCTTGTCGAAAGGCTGGCAGGCTTCGGAGGAACTTTAGGTTTTTCTGATGACGGGGAAACGGGTCCGAGGCCAATCTTGCTTTCCGTTTCGCTCGATTTCTTACGCATTTCAGGAATCACAGAGAGAGTCACAACTGTGCCAGCTCTTTTGAGTGCAGCTGCTGCTTCTTCATACCCAGCACCAAGAAGAGATTCTCCATTCACAGACAAAATCATGTACCTGAGAGAAGAAAATACCGACGAGGTTCAAGAACATCGTCCATTCTACGATGTGCATCCCAAAATAGTACGCTTCAAACAATCGGGGTTTCCCTAGAACTGAAAAAATAATCGTTTCTCCATTCGACACGCTTTCGTAATCGATATTTTAGAGCATAAATAATGTATGCTTTTCAGCATAAAAAAGGTACATTTCCCACGGTTTCACCCGGTCAACTGCGATTACTGTATTTCAATTTCAAGGCCACACAAATTTCGGCTGACCGAATGCCTTATAAAAAAGGAGAGTTTAACAGGAACTAACACGACCAAAACTTCACACAGCCAGCGTAAAAATATCAGATTCTTCTCATTCTGATACCCGACGTCCCGACTTCCTGATTTTCATGCCGTTACAAACTGGGTGAACCAGAAAATCGCATGCGGTACTGATCTTCAAAAAATTACATCTCTTGAGCGGTTCAAGCTATCCAGTAGAAAAAAGAAAAAAAAAATAAGTCAACATTTATGCGTTTAGGTGCAACAATATAACTTCGCAAATTGAATCTAAATTTTAAAAAAGTTGTCACGTGCTTCTTTAAAGGTATGGGGTTTCTCATTAAGATTATACAGGTCACACGCGGCTTTAAAAAACAGCTCTGCAAAACGTCTTGATTCTCTAGAGTAATATTTCAGGATACAGCCTTGCTTTTCCCCACAAAAACGAAGATGCATTTTTGACAGGCTAGCAAAGAAAAAATATACTACAGTAGAGGCAAAATAGCACAGTACACAGGCTCGTATTTGTGATTGGGACATAGTAACATACTTTTTCATAGTCCACCCGGTAGAAGTTGCCAGATTTTTGAAAATTACTTTTCAAAGGGTAAATCATTATAACTGAAGAGCTGAACCAGACATTTCAGCGAGCCTGCTAGAAATTTTCCATTCCTAACCTAGCCACTCCGCAAAAATACAAGCTTCGGTCTTTCGATACACATTAGTTCACTTATTTATTTTCTTAAAAGGTTGACGAACACGAAATATTGTATACAGTATACCGCAGTTGATTTTGTTCCTCACTTCGGCTCTAAGAACGTTTCTTCAAAAATAAATAAATAAGTGAATGAATTTAAAAATCAACTGACCCGATGTCCAGACCGGCCTTCTGAGCAGGACTCGGACTCTGAATATCCGACACGAATATCCCGGGTCCCAGATCGGGATGCGTTCTCTGGACGATCATAATTCCCAAGCCTTGGGCAGCCGAGTCCTTTTTGATCACCAAAGTCATGTCTCGACCAGCGCCGGGAGTAGACGAAGATTCCGTAGAATAGCATGAGCTCGTTGTGGCACCAGAAGAAGACATGATTGCAGGTGAAATGGATGCGGCTCCTCGACGAAGAACGACAACTTTCATGGCCCTCGTTGACGCTCGCATGATGGCCATTGTAACAACGTCCTCCGATTGTCCACGCATCAACTGCCCGTTGACTTCCAATATTTCATCTCCCATTTCGAGTCCTTGACGGGGAAAAAAATTAAAGTTTTGAGCAATCGTACGCAGCACACGTATTCAAGAACTACACAGTACTGTACTCGATCTTAATTCTTAACGTGAAACATTTCATCTCCCATTTCAAGTCCTTGGAATTTTTTTTTCAATTAATCATACATGGCATGCTCATGTAAAAACAATACAGTTATTTACTTGTTCTTCAACGACAAATTATGATATACCTGAATGAACTCGTAATTTGCGCGATAAGCAATAAAATATCGTGCTCCCAATTCAAACCCCATTTCGAGGCGCAAAAATCATCTTTTGTGGCGCAAAAGTCTTACGTTTTGTGGCTAATATAGCTAATAAAATTATATTAGGCCTTCAGCTAATATAATTATAAAATGTATAAAAACCAAATTATGTTCCCATTGATTTACGTCGAGGTAATTTTCCGACATGAAGAAATACGAATAACATGAGAGCGATGCTCGAACGTATTTAGCATATGAACTGGCGCATGCCATTCGATGAAAAATATTCCTCATCAGTCGATTCAGGACCTTTTCAGCTACCTGATTCAGCAGTAATTTGAATAATGTTAGCCGAAATCCCATAATTTCTGAATCATTTATATTTTTTTCGCTCTAATGCCAGGCGCACCCGAATCGTCGATTTTCTTTGCCATGTGCCGTCTGAACACATTTGTTTTCTTGAATATACTGGTACGGTATACAGTATTATCGACGTTTCCTGACTGAAAAAAACATGATCTTAGAAATGAATACTGTACAGAGCAATCGTATTCATCACAATGGAAGCGTCAAATTAGAAATTTCGAAGAAAATTTCATAAAACCACCTCAGCTCAAACTAGTTTTGGTTGTTGAGTGTTTTTAGGCAACAATTGCAATGCATCACAGAGGGCAAGGCTGAAGGTTCAAGTGAGAACCGTTTTCATATTTACATCAGAAGAACTTTCTTACAACTGAAGAAAATTTTAAAAACTAATTCTTACACATCATGAAATATTTGGGCCTTTCTTTGTACGTACCTGCGGCGTTGCACTCGGCACTCAGAGTAGAGACGAAAAATCCTTCTTGCTTCCCACTCGCGACGCCGAAAGACGCTCCTTCAGACAGCTCGATCATCATGATTTCTCCGTCGAGATCAAGATATCTTGCATGAGAAACAGCCAGGGACTCTTCTTCCGAATTCCAAGTCGAGTCCAGCTGCCCATCTTTTCTTCGATTGTTATTTTCCTCGTCTTCTGCATCGTTGTCGTCTTCTTCGGCTTCATTGTCGCAGTCTAACGCGTTGCGAAGAACAAGACTCTGTACCTTGAATCTCACGGGGTTTCCCGCACTGCGAATAACTTCCACCGCTTGATCATGACTGGCGTCTCGCAAATCGATTTCATCCACTTCCAAAATTCGGTCGCCAGTATGAAGTTCTCCAGTTCGACCTAAATACCGAGAAATGAGATTTGACTGACAAACAACAACAACAAAAACCAGGCACCAACCTGCGGGGCTATCAGCCAAAACGTTTTTGATGAAAATCCCACAAATGAAAGAGGAGGCCGCAGCAGTGGTTTCACTCGAGCCAGATGAAGAAGACGGTGTGTCAACATCAACTTTTCCCCCAACGATGCTTATGCCAAGGCCTCGATTAGGTTCTCGATGAACAAGAACAACTCGCTCTGGACCCCACAACTGACTCGCGACAGTGACTGAATCATCTGCTGCGTTTACACTAATGTTGGAGATGCCACCATCCGGATCCTGATCATGAAGACAATATCAATTTATAACGCTTATCCAATGACCATCGAATACGAGAAATAAAACGTAAAAAAGAAATCATCATTGAAATGCTGGGAAACATTTGCAGGATGCGCAATATGGAAAGATGTGCCTCTAAATCAGGTCGTCTTCACAATTTATAAATTTGAGCGGAATTAGGCCCAGATGTCCTTCGTATGTTCAGACGTTCTCTAGAATCTTCCTCATTTGAAGTTCCATTCAAAAAAAGGGAAATACTTCGTTAGAAATTTTCATTATACTGGCTTGACGTTTCAAGTGAACTTTTTCTTCTGAAGACATCTAAACAAAACTAGGATACAAATTTGCAGTCAACGTCGAGATAAATGAATCCTTCTACTCTTTCTCATACAGCTTCCAAGGAATGCAAACAACTTGATTGAACAATGATTTGCGCAAAAAGAAGATCTCAGTGAACTGTTGATAATTTTAGCTGAAAGCATTACGTTGCGGGTAAGACGGCAAAATCCCAATATTTTGACTGCCATTGTAATACCAACCTGACGAATGAGTCCACTGGCATTCATGTAGTCGTCAGACTTCCCTTGAGCTTCAGGAACTAAATCACTGTACATTGACGGAGCAGGAACAACAACCTTGTCCCCAAGGTCGCCAACGTCTGCAACCAGAGGCTTTGCGATGCCGATGAAAACTTTGCCCTTCGGGACACTCTTCAGCACTTGAACAGCCTCATCCAAAGACGCGCTCTCCACGTTTACTTCATTGACGAACATAAGGCTGTTGGAATGAACAAAGAAATTTTTTTCATCACCAACGCAAATAAGGCTATTCAGGATTATCAACGCGCACCACAATTTATCTTCGTGAGAAAAAGACAAAAGGTCACGGATATTTCGGCACAAAAATACGGTAGGCTCGTTTATCTTCAATTCCCGATCCCATTTCCTGGAATGTTTAAAAGAATTCATTCAACTCGACAGCCTAAAAAAATAAGAGAACCTAAATCATCGCGTTTACTCGCATATAAGATAATGAGAAACCATTGATAGTACAGCGCACTTTCACTCTTCGTCTCAGAATTTTCAAAAATTTTGCTGTTGAATAAAACGAAAACTCAACATTGCAGTAGGAATAAAATACAGCATTCTACTAACGATTCAGTAGCCCTCTTGATACTTCCGATTTTATTTAAAAGGGAGAGGCCCTTGTGTACGGCCTCTCAATTTTTTCCCACATCACCAATAACGATATAATGAATTTTGCCATTAAATGTAAGCCATTTTACCAATACGATTCACTCAAAATGACTGTTTGAATTAAGGATTGAAAAAAATATTAAAAACATTACTTAGACGCATCCTAATTTTAAAAGCAAAATTTATTTAAAAACAAAAAGTCCTTACAGTACTTTCGGATGAATACGGACCACAGAAAAAATAGTGTACTGTATGATAAAATACGAGCTAAATCTCAGAAACCGTCAACAACAAAAAACACGGAATTTTCGAAGAAAGAACATGGGAAAGTTTCCACCCGAGCTCATTCATTGGAACGACGGGAGAAAAATCGAATTTTTCCATTGAGAAAACTTTTTCAGTACTAACCGATCACCGGGAATGAGACGTCCGTCAGTCTGAGCAACTCCTCCAGGCACAAGGCTTCGAATGAGAATTACAGTATCATTCGGATTCAATGGATCTTGATAGTCGAGGATGGAAAATCCCAGTCCACGTTCGCTTTTCACCAACTCGATCACTTGAACATCTGGACTCCACAGCGGAACGCTCGTTAACGGTTCCAAAGACCTGTTTACACATTTTATATAAATATATAAATCAGGAAAACCGCCCGATTCGAAAACAGTGGTGAAGTTATCGTGGGAAGAAACTCGACCTGAATAAAACTGGCATCAACATAAGGAGCTAAAGGCAGATAAACCAGGGAAAACCTACATAAATTCAACGAACTAGAAATTGTGAAACACCTAGAGAAGTCATGCTAACAGATCTCGTTCGATCGAATGTAAATACTGCGTTTTTCTCGATTTCAAGCAAAAACTGACATCGCAAACATCCAAGGGATTGCCGTTACATGATTTTTAATATCCCACGATGCTTAATTTGAAGTAGAAGGTTTTTTTTTGTTGTCACTGACATGTTTTCCGGACGGCGCAAGAATACATTTCTGACACAAAAAATGTTGTGAAGTGGACAAGGTTCAAGTAATGCTTTCTTAATGTAGTTTGAAACAGGATATTAAGGTTTTCTCTTCACAGATATTTCCTTCGAAGCGCTTAATATGTTTTGAAAATGTTTACTGCTACGCATGATTTGATTCTCGAAAATCTTTCTCTCTGCCCGAACTGTTCCCATAGCACAGAGACTTTTCGGACACCCTACGCTGGAATAATCCGCAAAAACTAGCTGATCAATTTTCAAAAATTGAAGAACTACGTTTACCAAATAAAATTATCTCACCGAGATCGAAGCTCCAGATTTTTTGCCTCCACTATCCCGCTTTCAGGGCCTATTCCAAGCACACTCGACGCAATTGAACCCTCACTTTTGGCCTTCACAAGACCTGATCTATCACCATAAGAAAGTCCGGGTGAAGGAGGTTGAGAGGAAGAATTTGTGGACACAGTTGGAGGGGTTAATGATGAAACCCCATCAGGCACATTGGAGAACAGCCTCAGGCGTCCGGCGCCCGTCGGACGGGCACAAACCAACGTCACTTCCTATCGATAAGGGAGATGCATTTTGGAAATGTAAGTCTTGCAATCAACACCATTGACATCCCGGGCAATGTGCGGTATGTATCACATACTGAGCTTTTCGAAAAATGAACTCCGTCACCGGCTTTCGCTGCTAGTGGTGAACCCTCTTTCGTACGGAAGTTGATTCAGGAAATGCAACTTCAGTTTATTCAGTGGGAAAACACTGCCACGCCCATTGTAACATAAACTCGAGCTATTTTCACGCTCTTGATCATGTTCCCTTTATTCATGAGCTATTCGTTTTAAGCGAATATTTATTTCAAAATTCATGCAAGAATTAATGAAGGCATTGTGCAAGAAATTCGAAACAGATTTTGTCATTCCATAGAGCTTTTCATTACAGTACTGTACTGCATTCGGTTCAGAACTATTCAGATATTTTAAATCGCTTTACTTGACTCTTTTCATCAACTTCTTGGATGAAGGATTCATTCCATTAACCGAGTTGCCCAATATCATCTGAATCGTACCTGCGGTAGTTCCTTCAAAATGGAAACCACCTGGGTGTGGTTCAATCCTAGAAGTTGACGGCCGTTTACTTCCAGGAGCTCATCTCCTGGCTGTAGAACATTCGACGCACCAATTGGACCATCCGCAAGAATTGACCTAAGAAAATGAGTGGGTGAAATTTGGAGTAACGAGAGACACGCGAGAGTTTTCGTACATTACTGGTTTTAACCAGATTTAAAAAAATACTTCACAGTCATGACCTGCTTAAAAACAATTAACCAGATTTTTTCTTTTCAAATGCTCAAATTTTTTGATGAATAATAAACAACCAGAATTGTGTTGGAAAAAAAATAGGAAACCCAGTTTTGCTCGACTCTGATCAAAATCATGAAAAGTAATTCGAGCGGATTTTTTGACGCACATCAGTCAGCAAAAAAATTATTCATCAAACTGTACAAAGAATGTTGGGAAACAAAAGCTGCTACTGTAGTTCAAAACATTGACGTTATGAACGGGTTAACGGGATTCAAAAAAACAATCGCTGTACAAAGAATATCAGCATAAACAAAGTAAAGGTAGACTCTCAACAACAAAATTCAAGGGACAAGTAATTCGTTGTAGAGAACCCCTGCAACATGTATAGAGAACCTCATGGGAACACAAAATACTTCGTTATACGGAGAAAATCGTTGAAGACAAAATCGACGTAGGGAGAGTCTACCTGTACTGTACTTGCAGGACATGGGGCAGTAAATCTAAAAAATAACTTGATTACGAGAAACTAGAAGAATTTCTATGATTTTAAAGATGGGGGGCGGGCGGTGTATGACCTACCTGATGAAGTGTCGCGGTCGCACTTCTTTGCCGCCCTCGACATCCACGGTTCCTTCCAAACTGATGCCAAGTCCACCGCCAGACGCGAACTTCTTCACATGCACAAGAACTACTTCGAACCCCGTTCCAAGCACTTGATTCCAACGCTCCTTGGTCGCAGTATCCACACGATTGTTATTGCATTCGTTCATAGCCATGAGCCTTTGCTCGACAATAGGGGCCGTTTCGGGCACCAAATCCGGTCGAGAGCCGTGTAGGAAATTCGGCACGTCTCCGCTTCCAACGTCGTTGATACTGGATGCAATCGCGTGCTGAAGCTGGTCGAATTTGGGACCATGATTGTAACGAGCTAGACGTAGACGCACAACTTGTCCCGTTGTTCGTAGAACGTGCACAGCTTGGTGGTTCGTGTAACCCGCGAGCTCTGTTCCATCTACTTCGATGATTTGATCGTTCACTTGAACTAGACCCGAGCTGAATGCAGCTGAGCCTGGTGTTATGCTCTTGATGAAGATTCCGGACAGTTCCTCGCGTTCACATACGTATCTTGAAAAAAAAAAAATTGAACGTTTCATTTTATAATGCCATGGTGAATGAACATTAAAAAAAAAACACAGACGGCAATGGAAGATACGGGCGATTCATGAAATTCAACAACGTGTATGTTTCTGGAATTTTGTGAGTGTACCAGTATTATGAAATTCTTGTTCAAGAACGGTGGGGCCACGTCAAAGAGGACGACATTATTGGCTTTTTCCAGACTAGTAGTCGAGGTTTTTGTCCAGTGAAACGGGAGAAAATCATTGACAACACATCAGCTATTATAAGAGAAAATGAGAAAGGTTATCGAAAAAATTCTCTGGCATTCTCAATGTTTTCAGCTCCTGTTAGATGAACAATGAATGAAGGAGGGAATCGCCCGGGAAAGGATGAATTTTTCCGTTCCCAGACTTTTAAAGCTATGCCAGGGCTTCAACCATTCTTTAAAATCATCACACTTTCTTTCAACATAAATCTCATGACTAATAGTCGAGAAGAAACTCCCAGAAATATTATAATTTTTGCAGGTTTACAGGGTCCACAGCGGAAATGAACATGAAGAGTGAAAAGACGAATCTTAATCAAACTTCAATAGGGTCAGTAAAAGTTATCAAATCTTAATGAAGTAAACAAAAACAAAAACGCTCGACATGTTCAGTACTTTACCTTTAAATTCAGTTTTTACCTTTCCAAAAATGTCGGACATCACCAGAACAGATGTGATTCACTCTTGATATTCATTGGCATCCAGATTTTTCAAGAAATCGTGAAGATAATCGATTTTAAAACAATACAGTACATCGAATTAGAAGAATGAAACTGGCGCTTACGTAGCTTAACATTACGTACGGAGGAAAAAAAATGATTGTTGAACTGATAGCTCAAAGATTATCCATCTTTTTGTTGCAAACCATTCTTCGAGCGGAAACACAAAAACTCTCGAATTATGCTGATACGTAGGCCATTGATAAGAACGAAGAAAATTAATGTACTGTACAGAGCCGAAATCAGAAGTTGCACATACCCCGCTATTGTGATTCCTAAACCATTGGCATCCTTTTTAAGAACGGCGTCCAGGGATTCTACTTCAGGGATCATCGGATTGAGAATGACCTGCTCTTCGTCGATCGATTCAATAAGTAACGGCGGAGGTGGTGGGCTTATATCCGGGATTCCATTGACGAGATCCTCTGTCAAGTCTTCTTCATCTGCGGCACAAACGGATTATGAATTTCATCGATCGGCTGCTCATGTCGTCACACGCATGAATTTACTCGATTCCCACAAAAACAACACGCAACAATTCAATAGTCTATGTTACAGGGAGTTGAAGCCATGTAAAAATATCTAGGCACAAACAGTGGATTTAAAACACTTGAGGCGTTTGCTGAATTAACAGACATTTCATTTTTAAGAGAGTGTCTAAAACCGTTCACATTTACTGTACTATATTAGGTATGCGACGAGCCAAAGAATTCCTAAGTTGGGCACTAAAAACCACTACAAGAAATTTGAACCTTTCAGACTACAGTGTATGTTTTTTTAAGAACAAAAACCTATTACAGTCGAACCTTTCCAAGTCGAACTTCGGGGGACTAGCAAATATATCGAGTTAGGAAGGTTTCGAGTTCTGGAAACGAGTATTTTTGTCGTGGAAAAGGAAGAAGAATTGCAGGGAATTTTGATTGGTGATCTTCTGGTCCTTAAATTGCTTTTTGAATTGAGTTAAAACAATGCTGAAGTTGAAGGCAAGGGTTCTTTTGCTCAATTAATCTTTCGCCACCTTTCAAAACAATTTTTCTTCCGCGAGTCAATAAGATACTCTAAGAATACTCTAATAAGATAATATAAGTAGAGGAGGACTCTCTCTACAACGATTTTCTCTACGCAACAATTTTACTCCGCATATTATGAGGGTTCTCTACAACGAAGTTCTCTTGATAGTTGATACCAAATTTTTTCTGTCCTCTTGAGTTCCGTTGTAAAGGCAGTCCACCTGGAATAGCCAAAAGGCCTCCAGAAAATTCGATTTATGGAGGTTTTACAGGGAAACCCTTTGAGTTGGGGAGGTTTTTAATGCATTGCTTCTAAGATAACTCCGACACGGAAATTCGACACAGGGAGTATTCGACTTCGGGAGATTCGAGTTATCGAGGTTCAACCGTACCCCATCTCCATTAATCAAAAGTTGAGTATGAGTGATTGAATGCTCGGTTAACCGAAGATCAGAAAATCGAAAGTTCTACAACATGGGAAGCGGAACAGCGCTAGGCTATTTCGTATAACACCTTCAAAAAAAGCACTCACTCAGAACATCCTCCGCAACGCTTGATAAGATCTTGTCAATCTCATCCGGGTCATAGAGCAATTTTGTTGCGATCAGCGGAGCACGCATACTCCTCTGAATCGATAGAATGTTATCATTGTCGTCTCCGTTGCTCAATGCACCGGGATCCACGGGCCGTGCAACCACAAGACGAACATGAGATCCGGCCTGCCGCAAAACCACTGCGACCTGATCAGATGACATGCCTCGCAAATTAACATCATTTATTTGCAAAATATGGTCGCCGCTTTGTAGTCGCCCATCTCGATCAGCCACACCGGCAGCTACGATGGTTTTGACCACTACCCCAGTCGACCTGGATAAATAAAATTCCAAGTTAGATTCATTGTCTTCAAGCCAAAACTCAATGCTGCTAAAAAAAAAATTCCACGATAAGGAATCTAATAACACTTTGCGTTGGGCTTCCATCGAAAAATGATGAGGAATTTCCATCGAGAACATCCTTCCGGAATTCGGCATAAGATTCAATTCTACGGAGCTTCGGTAATGTAGACAGAAGGAGGGGAAAAATACGCAATACGATATTCAATTCTGCAAAATATAAGCACAAGACCCAAGATTGCCATAAAAAATGCAAAAAATCATAGTATGATAATCCGTTACTGATCTAAACAGTATATTTTACAATTAGAGTTGAAATGTTATTTAAACGTTTTTCCCAGAATCTACGAAGAAAATTTACTTATTCACATCAAATGGAAAATAATCCACATAGGCTTCTATCACAGGTACTGTATTTTTAAAAAGGCCCACAAAATTATCACAGTACCACCAATTATGCAACAAAAATCAAAGATTTTCTCACAGTTCTATAAAAAAAAGATCTACGGCTTTCGATATCACAGAACGAAATTTCACTTTCAACTGTGTGAAGTTGAACCTTTACCTCCCGCCGATGATGCCGAATCCGAGACCAGATCCATCGTTGATCAGTTCGACGGCCTCCACTTGCGCCCATTCTGTGTTCAATACCATGTTGCCACTCGCACCACCATCAGTCAAACCAGTCAAAGGAACATCTAAAAATTTAGAAAATAGCTTCAATCACTTTAAACATTTCGCGACGCTCAGTCGCGTTTCAATTCCACTTCCCAACGATACTTCTCCACAAGTTCACTATAAAAATTATCCGGGAACGAAGTGGATAATTTATCAACTTCCTTCCCGATTAATTTTCCGACCAAAAACATCAGCCCTGGAAGTTTTCAATTTAGATTGAGAGCGAACGAAACATTCGAACTTGAGGTCAGGTATACAAGGTTGAACAAACGTTCACCGTAGATTTTCAACTTTGCGTCGCAAATTTTTCCAAGCTGAAAAATAACTTAATCCAATCGAAATATGTTTCTTGTGCAGATCCTGTCATTGTAAGCGACCAAACATGTTTGTTCGCTTTGAAAAATGTAACATGAGATAAATGCGTTTGCTTTAATACGTGATCATTCTAAACGTACAGCATAGTTGTACTATGCGATCGACCCTCAAAAATAATACTCAACTGTTCCAGCTGACCTCCATGGAATATAAGAGGCTTGCCTTACTTTAATCGACCGAATTAATTTAACTTGGTACCTAATTCAGCAAATATCAATGCTTTAGAAGTGTACCTTCGATGAAAAAGAACAATAACAATTCAACTTCAGTGATGCCAAACTGAACTGATTCAATTCACGCAGGACCAGCAGTAAGCGAGGACCAATATGGAAGAGGAGCCGAAGTTACTACTGTACTTCGGTTTCATTCCACCAACCCTTTCACAAAAATGAAGCATGGTGAGAGAGTCAGAGATTCTAACCCCCCAAGTTGCACGAAACCTTAATTATAGCACAAGTTAATAACTTATATCATACCAGGAGCTGAAGCAGAAACAGCAGTTGACGGTTTCTGAGGGCTCTCCAACTGATCTTCGGGTATGGGTTTCGGAAGGGCTCCCGTCGAAGTTGAAGAAGGCAATCCACGGGCAACAACAAATGTGACTAAACCTCTGGTGCGCTGAATGATACGAACAGCATCTTGGTGAGGGATCCACGGGTCCAACGGGTGACCATCAATAGCCAGAATTTGATCGCCTTCTTGCAAACGTCCATCCGCAGCAGCGGCCCCGTCAGGTTGAATTCCTTGTATGAAGATTCCCAAATCTGAAAGTTCGGATTTCAGTCCCACCACGCTGAACCCAAGTCCAGAACCTGAACCAGATTCTCGCTTTTGTAACTGGACAGTCAGAACTTGACGCCCAGCAGCGCACTTGTCTATCAATTGCTGAGCGGAGGGATCTAATTCCAAAGGAAGATTTCCATCGTTGGCTTGGGCATTGCTTTCCACTTCTTTTGTGTAAGCTTTCTTATTCTCTTTCTCGACAACCTCCACCTTCTGTTTTCCGGGGGAATCAAAATGCGGTTGTTCTTTTACTTCGGAACTTCGGCCAGAGATCAATTTTTCGTTGTTGCCATTAGCGACTTCTCTTTTCGCACTTGCCTTGGCAGCATTCTCTGCGACCCGCTTTTGAGCTCTAGAAGACCACACGAGCTCACCATGACTATCGATGTCCAGATCAGCAGGACATACACCTTGATTCGCGTTCACATCCTCGCACAATTCTTTCAAAGAATCCTGCAAGCATACCAGCTTCTGCAAGACGGGATTGCCGAGTACGGACAGCAGGACATTTAGGTCTCTAGCTACAGCTGGAGACGTGACGGAGTCATTCACACGCTTGATCTGATTTACTTGGTTCTGGACTGCTTCCAGCATGCTTTGGTCGCCGAATATTCGCGTCTTCCGCGAGGCCATGCTTCCAAGAAAACGCTTCAAGAAATCATGCGAATACCTAAAAAGTCATTGGCTAGGGAAAAAACGAACATAAACTAATGAAAATTCCGAAGGACCGCAAACATAAATTCCATGCGAAACTATGAAAACACCACGTGCGAAAATGCCTAGTGCATTCCCTCTTAGCATAGCACATTGTAGCACTGGAAAAGTAATCATGCGAACAACTGGGAAAGTAATTCCACAGATAAATATGTTCATGCGGGGCAAGACATTCCACTTCATGCTTTCGTACCGAACTATTGAATTCGGATTTTTCTGTCGGGCGAAACCCTCATAAACAACAGTTCGTGAACATTTCCGAGGAGCGAAATCGCGCTTTGCGGCAATGCACTCTGTACCGCTGGGCACGACATTTCCATCTGGATAGTGCTGTATAGCCAACGCGGCAAATAATTTCTTTCGGTGAAAAAGCGCGAATCAGTAGAAAACTTCAAAGAGAACGAATTATCCTATACTTCTGCACCTCACTCACTCACTATCGATGACACTTAAGCTTCCTTCACGGGGAGAATTCCGTACTTCTCCCAACCCAACACTTGCTCTTCCCGCGGGGGGCACCTGCAGCGACGAGATGCTATCCGTGCAGCCATCGAGGTACAGAGCGATAACCAATAACATAGAACTCATTTGAAACAAGTAGGTCGAGAAAGAAGTCTGAGGGTCGAAAATTCCTCTCTCTACCCTTGGAATTGCTATAAATCTACTGAAAAACAATCCGTTCAGTTCCTTCGGGTCGTAAGAAATGCTTGGGTATAATAGGGTGCAGCATGGGTGCCCCACAAGGTGCACACACCATATTTAATTAAGTCCTCCATAAATTCAATGTGAACTTTTCTTTCAAATTCAAAACAGAGAAAATTATTGTGTAAATGATGTCCACGCAGAATTTGCCTTTTGGCTAGGAAATGAACACATACTGCTACACTGTATGTAGTTGATTGAAAATGCTTTAAAATGAGAAGAGAAAACACTTTAAAATGAGAAGAGAGAATGCTTTAAAATGAAAAGAGAGAACGCTTTAAAAAATAATCTACAAACCTCTTCAAATAAAATTCAGAGGAACCAGCAAAAAATTCAACTTCACGGAAGTTTTCAAGTGTAGAAAACTATCATTTACACTTTTTAAAAAATAATTGGTTCTACTAAGCATGAATCCTGAATCACCAGCCCTGCTCAAAAGACGAAAAAACTTATTTTCTCTCTTTTCTGAGAAGAGAAAATTTCATTAAACACGCAATAAGTCCAAGATAGCAAGAGAGCACTTGATTTTCTCCTTTCGCTGATTTCCCGAAGGTATCTACGATACTCTAGAAACAATTACTGTTTACATAGACAGTACAAACGTATTGTATACTGTGCTTTACATATTTTGCACCCCAGTATAAGTAAACCTAGCACTGGTTAAAAAGAAGGTTGATGGCGTACAACGAACTCGACTAGAAAACTTTCCACTTCACAAAATACAGTACTGTACTGCACAATATGTATCATTCGAAGTACAGTGATCTCATGCCCATTAAATTTTGTCAAAGCAATTGCGGCTCCCAGCAGCATAAATAATCTTGATGAGTTAATTCCTTTTCCTAATCGCCGCTTCATCTTGTAGGAGGAACATCGAAACTTTAAAAAGTTAGAATCAGTTATGAACGCCGAGCAGAAAGCTTCATGAAGAAAAATAAATTAAGACAGGAAAATCCCGAAGTGCCCATTTATGATCCGATAACACCAAAAAGCAGTCACAACATCCCACAAAAATAAGGCACTGCTATAAATACACTCACGATTTGCTGTAAAAGAATTCAAAACGCTGATCACAAATTCACGACTTTGTCGAACTGTACTTATTTACGGACTGCGGCATTCTCAACATAGCGTCAAAATCGCACCACATTTTTCAAAAAAACAACAAAAACTTTAAAATCAACATCGCCTTCTTCAAAATCGAGGCAGAGAACACGAGAACTAGACGGAAAGCTGCATCATAACAACGAAAATAAATCCATCTCAAGTACATTTATCAATGAAGTCTTCAAGAAACGTTTCTAGGACAATTGATTTCACATACAGCAACGATCAGACATGACGAACGAATGAAATACTGTCATCACCCGCGAACTACGAAGACAACACCGGGGGACGCAACTTTGAACAATCATGGCTTCATAAGCTCTTGATACGCAGCGCCAAGAGCCCAGCTTGTTTCATGACCATTGATTCGCTTGAACAGCTGCAGAAAATATGCACAAATCGATAACAGAGATCGGCAATCCACAACGTTTAACTAAATAATCACAACGTTGGTGAATACGATTAGCCGAATTGATTCTCAATTTTTTTTAATCCAAAAATAGTCACTCAGCTCATTCTTAAATATGTTTCACGTCGTGAACCGGAGAATTTTAGTAATTTTACGAAGTTAATGAGTGTTAAGAAGCCAAGCTCAATACGAAACCACAAATAGTCTCGCTCTCCTATTCCTGCTCAACTATCGTAATAACCAGAATCTCACATCAAAATTGACATTTTCACTCGGATGTCGAAGGAATTTCAATGTCTCTGATCAGGACTTGTTCATTCAGTATGGCTCAGATTTCAATAAAGAGTCGGAACTTCGTGCTATGGTTTCCGAGTAATATATTCTACCCTAGTTATTATCATGTCGTATTCTTGGAAACCTGTCATAAAGCGAATCTAATCCACCGTACTGTACTTACATGAATATCAACACTTGATTCCAAACCGTATCCGGACTTGAGCAGAGCCACAATGAAAGACAAATCAAGGCAAAGGAAAGGATGTTCGTCATGAGGCACTCGACAAACTGTAAACAAAAGAGCACACTTGGTTAAATGAACAACGGCTCTTTCGGTAAAGGATCTCACCTTTTCGAGCAGCAATCTCAAAATTCTCGAGTTTTATCACACCGCCATCTTTAGGATCTGTTGAACACGGAGCCTTTCTGAAAAATCATTCCTCTGACGCACGTAGTAAGTTTAACTCACCGATCAGTTGGGCATCCACAGCTCGATCATAGAAATAAGAAATCGCATTGATCGTCTTATCGTTCAAATCCAGAGGCACCTTAACTTTTGAGCGCACCAGAGACGATGCCAAGTCATGGCATGTGCCGAACGAATCGGGTTGCTCACGTCGAGATCGTCTAAAATAGCCGGGAATTAAGGGATCGATAATTACGCAGTTGAGAGTTCAGTCGTAAAGGGATCCGAAAGTTCGAAGATCATCGATGTAGTGACTACTCCAACACGTTCTTCTTTTCCACGGACGAAAGCTAACGAATTTATAATTGTTTAACACATGGTGACGGTACATAGCCACCAAGCTTGAAACGTTTTCACCTTTCATAAAAGAAGGCGATATAATTTAAATACGAGTGTTGTCAAATTTCAGCTAGCGAAGCATTCAGATGTTTCCCTTTCTCACGTAGCAAAAGGATTGTCCTAGTTCCAGGTGGGCCTGATATAATTTTCCAGCAGTCAGCAGACACTACAATGTTTTGAAAGGTTGTGTACTGTAAGTGTATAGGGCTAATGGTGACATTTTTCAAGAATCCCTGTACAATTTGTTTCTCCATTAGACTAGGAACAAAAACTTTTCGGTTATGTCAGGAATGAGGCATTTCCTTCTCAACTTGAGTACTATACTCTTCTTCAAAAAGTTAGCCAGGAGACATTACTTTTTCGTTTGCAACCGCAGAGACATTTTCAAAAAAATTTTCAACGATATTTTCGGTAAGGGGAAGACGAGAACCACACATTTCCAATTGCAGCGGGGACGCAGAATCACTTCAGCTACTTAAAATGTTCTGTTTCTCAATCATAGGGTAGAATTCATTTGAAAATTTCCTAATTGAACACCTTGATGATAATCTAAAGACTGAACAAAAATTATTTATTTGGGTAGCGCTTTGAGAGATCTTCAAGGTCCCACAGAAATCGAAAAATTCTCGCATTTTCATCGAAATTTGAACAGTTCAAGGGATTGGATTGTTTGACTGGAACACTGGGAGCTGCGCATATGGGTTTCAAGTTGCTGATCTTCGAAGACTCCCTCTCACTTTTCTAGGTCTCAGTGCAAACAACTGTGTAAAAAAAATTGGTCCGAACTTCCTGCATTGATGCCAGTGAATCAACGAAGGCTAAATCAAATGAATACGATAATTCTTACTCTAAAATTGACATTACAGTATTTTGTCCACAATACGTTTGGAAAAGCAATATTATAATAGGTACTGAACTTCGAGGATTGCATTCATCAATTTTCAATACTCCCGATTAAATGCATCAAATTTGGTGACAATTATGCTGAAATGCGTTGAATAATACAATTTTTTTCTCTATGACAAAATACGCCAAATATTGAAGACAGTCTTCAGACTTCTTCAATTTCCTTGGAACTTTCGAACCTCCCCACGTGTATGCATTTCATAGCTGTCAAAAATGCTCACTTGACGAGTAACTCTTGGCTATTGAACACCCATTTGGTAGGTGCTGAAGTTCCGATACACGGGCTGGCAAAATTTGTTTCGTCAGTCTTGTGATGATCCAGAATAGCTTTCCGAGCAGACATTAGTCCGAGACCCAAGTAGCTACAATTTACGAGAATATTAAAAATGTTGCTTCGGTTATAAAAAGACATATAACTGCAGAATACTGTACCTGTTCGTAAAAACTTTGATGGGTACCTTCGCACCGTTTACAACGTGAACGTTTTCAACAGGAATGTCTCCGTTATCCTCTTGGAGTCCGAATGTGATCTGCGTCGATCCACCGCCTAGATCCAAAGTCACAGCAGTCTTTTCAACGCCTTCGCCAAGCTTTCCTACACGAAAACAAATAAAAATACGTCGTTCATTGAATCGTCAAGAGAATAAGAGATACGATGAATATCAAAAAATGGGACGTGACTAAATTACCTGAGAGGAAATTAATGGTGAACCATGAAAAAATGCCTTCATCCGACCCATCCATTATGTCAACAGCATTAGGCTGAACAACATAACCAGAGTCGTAGAAAACTTTCCGCACCTGCAATAAGGAAAAAATAAGATGTCCCCACGTTACAGAATATTTCTATGAAGTTATTCCCTGAATAGTCTGAAATAACATAATATTGTTATAAAAAGAGAAAGTTGAAAAGCTTACACACACACGTACACCAGAATAAATTCTGATTCTGAACTCGATGGTTCCCTGGAAAAAACTCAAGCATTGTTTCGAATCCCTCACACGGGGTTGTAAAAAATTTTTTCTGAAGAAAACACACGAAGTAATCATTCTGGGAATAAGAGATGGCTTCATTCTCTACATTTCAGAGTGTTAGTCAATAAAATTTTTTTTAGACGAGAATCTTCATGCCAAAAACTTTATGACACTTTCATTGACATTTCAAGACCGGGAACGAGGTTATTTCCCTCTTTGACTCGCCATCTTAAAGAAAATTCACAATTTCCCAAACGGTATGAAATTATAAAGCCAGAATCAAAGGATAAGGAGGATAAAAACACACAATTATTCAATTTTTAGAACACAATTTTCCGTTTCCACAGTGCAGCGTGGCCTTACGCATTGCCGGATTGGGAAACAAATTCGCACAGGTTTTATCAGTAAACCGTACGAAATTTTCAACTTCAATATTCCATGGCCTCAATGGAACACAAATGGTTCCGAATTTTTCAAAACTCTGCAAACCCACCTCACTTGGTGAAAATTTGTTTTTTCCAAGGGAAATGAAATAGTTTCTTAATCTTTCTTACTCATACGATCTCGTCCGTTTCTCTTTGATGAAAAGAAAACTTATCAGAAGGGCGGCGTTTCGAGAGAGGAAATGAAATCATTCTTCGGTGGAATGAGCTCTGAGAACAAGAGAGCGTTGATGACATTTTTTCTGAAAAACTGTATATTCCTTATTTTTATTAATCCTTAAATTGAATCAAAATTACACTGAAATGAAGATGATAAAGGCATCTATAGTATCCAAATGGGTCATACCTTAAATATAATCTATCCGAAAAGGTAGACAAAAATGCGGAACCATCAGTGCTGCCCTCGCAAAACGGATAATTCAGAAGATTTTTTTTTTTAGACATTGCCCAAATTCTTCGGGTACTGTACTCGAATTTCTGGATAAGAATCTTTTAAAATGCTGCGGGATAAGTAACACTAAACACAAGCCTTTGCTCATTTACGGGGGATTATCTTCCTAGGGTAATTTTTTGTTCACTCATCGGAATTTAGGATAACGTTTTCATATCTTTTAATCACCGAAACAAACATTTCCAAGATTCTAGCCCCGAACACGGTTGGCAAGTTTGACACATCATCATCCAAAATATATTCCAAAAGTTTAAAACATTTTTTAGCGCTCAGACATATTGAAAATTAAGACAGCACGAGCTTTCTGCTGTCCATTTCAACCAGTAAAGCAAAAATTTGAACTCCCGTCCGGAAATCAAGAATAATTTAAGAAATTAGGCACATCCCCTTTCATATAATACTATTGTGGGAGGTCAAGATGGGGAATTGATATGGACAAGAAACTCTTGCGAACAAGGGAACGTAAAAATTCTAGACAAACGATGAAAATTCCTCGCGTATCAAACCCTTACGTTTGATGTTTGTTACTCGCATATCGTCACGACTAAACTAAACGCCTGGAAGCACAAGAGTTATAGAAATCGAGGCACAACCGTGTCATTTTACAGAAGTTCACATCACATAGATCATACCCACGAGGGAAAGAATAATTTTCTTTTTTTTTCAGGAACTGTCAGTTGTTACCACGGATTTGCGATTTTGAAAAAAATTAAGAAATTGAAGATGAATCCGCAAATTTGAACGCTGAATATCAACATACCTCAGCGAGCAATCTTTCGGCTTTGGCGGCAGGTAAGAGGCGGAGTCCCGCAGTAGCACGCAAAATCAACGGTGTGAGTGGACGATATCCTTCCGGCACGAAAGAATCAGCTTCATTCAACAATTCTTTGATGGTACTAGCACCCTAGAAGAAACTTCGTCCATAAAATAAAAATAACGAAAGCTAGCGAACTTGGAACTTACTTTCAATGGGTCGTCAGCAAATGAAGAGAGTCCAGGCTTTATTTCATAGAATAATTCATCTTTAATCTGAAGAGAACCATCTGAAACACGTACAGAAGCATCGGGAACGATGGAATATGAGGGTTAATTAATAACTTTCGACAATGCATCACAGTGCAGTTTAGTGATTCAATTTTTTTTGGTCTTCTGAAGGAGATGAATGGATTTTATTTCTGCAAAATTAAATTTCATAATATCCCATACACTCATCTGATTTCATTTCAGAAAATTTCCATTCCCTCAAAATGAAACGTAGAGAAAGCAGCTAAAGATTCACACAATTACAGTAAGGAAACCCTTATCAACGAATACTTCAACGAAAAGAAAAATCAACTATTGGCAATTTTCATGCGAAGGAATGCTGAATGTGAAGGTGACTGCTCTGAACTATCCATTTTTGAGCAAGAAATTGTTCACGTCAGAACTTATATAAAAATCTGATAACGTAAGAACTAAAGTGAGGTTTGCGTTGGGTATGCTGATTTATAAGTTCTGACTCGGAAACGTCGGTACACGCAGAAATATTCTTCATACGCCTAAAAACAAAAATAATAATGAACACGTACCAATACGAGATTTGAAGAAGGAGAAAGCAAGAACGCGGCTCCCAGTACTACCGGCGTCCAGAACGACGGCAAAGGTGGGAATGTGTAAACCCAGCAATGTGGAGAATGCGTCTCTGGTATTGACAGGACGACTGTTTTTGTCATGCATTGGTGGCAGAAACTGAACAATGCCTGTTGAAAAGAAAAGCTCAATTTAAGTTACATCAACACTGAAAACGTGAGAAGGGACTCACAATACACAGCAGTCAACACCAGGATCAGAAGTGTAGTCCATTTCACAGCAGCAATCCCTGTCGAAAACGACGACATGCTAAAATTTCGCTTCATTTCCGTCGAGGATACTTGGGAAGCTGACGTAGAATGCTACGGAAAAGCAAGAAAAAAATGCATCACAAGATTCAACAAGTTCAACCAACATTCCGCTTTCCTCGACTATAGAAAGTACAAAATGAGATAGGGCTTAGAAGAAGAACGACTAAGACACGTTCCGTCTGTCCGCTATAAGTTCAGCAATCATGTCACACGACGAATTGCACTCAATATCGAAAAGTCTCGTGGGTCGAAATCCTGCTCCGAGCTCAAATATCGGCTCGAAGCACGCGATAATTGCTCAAGTTAAATTACAGACTTGTCCATGGCAGCCGGGCCAGCTGTAACACGATCTGCGCAGCTAAAATATAGTCGAAAATCGGATGAAGCTCCACCAAGGAACACCAATTCAAAATTCACCATTAATGCCTCAATAAACCCGAACTGCGAGCGAAATCAAACTCGAAACATGTACACAACTCGCAAAAACTCACCCCACGATTCCTTACTTCCATGTCGGAGAACTGTGCACCTTGAAGATGATCAAACAAGTAAAGTCAAGATAACACATGCGGAATTTAGCACTCGGTGAAATCTAGATATACGCACGATTTTAAAAGATCATGGACACCAAACAAAGCTATCAACACGATATCTCGCATCCGAATTTTGTAGCACCAAAGACGATTCGGTTTGAACGAAATTTTGCTGTAAAGTCAAACTGAAATCAAGAGCTTCGATTGAATATATTTCAGCGTCACTTACACATAAAAATCATTCAGCCTCGAGCAACAAATAACAGTATGCAACTATCGGGTCTATTGATCGGTTCCCCGAAACGCGCCTGCCTGCCACACCGGAAAAGGTGCTCATGTACTACTACCACAGTGCGCGGCCATCCATAATATCGTAAGTGATCACTTTGACATAGAGTCAAAGAATCGTGCGCAGCAGTTTACATTACAGTACAGTACATGGACAGTGTTTTAACATCTGTATAGATCCACGTCGTGAAGTAAGGTATTTTTAATCGAAATTTAGCTGATCACGAAAAGCTATTCCATGCATTGTCACCTTTCCAAAACCAACTCGAAACTACAATATAAATATTAGCTAGTACGTCGCAGAATGCTTTCCAACATCAGGCATCAGTTATAGTGTAGTACTGTACTGGAGTTCGTGCGACATAACCTGGAATCTGTTGAGTGCATGGTTCACTTCTTCGTTTTGTACGACTCTCTGGGGAATCTGTTTTCAACACAACAAATGAAAAAGGCTCAGATCAGGGAGATTCAGAGCGACATGTGTACTGATGCGAAGTACGTTGCGCGTATGGAATGAACGTGCGTTGCTGTTGGAGAATTTGGCTGAGAACCCCTGAAGCAAATAGAGTATGATGTCGAGGCGAATTTTTTACAAGTTTTTTTTTATTGAATTTTTTTGGACAGAGCGCCTCAGAATTTTTCAATGACTTTCAACGAAGAGTTGCTGTTGTCATCCAGAAATTGCAGTTTTGCATTTCATGGTCATTGCATCAAGTTACAATTCAATATTGTTCACATGAATTGCAGACTGCGCACATTCTCCATATACAGTACTGTACACTTGTGCGTCTTCCTTACTTGGAGATTTCATTCCATCTCTCTTTTTATTGTTCTGCTGGAGTTCGGGGATCCCAAAGGATATGCAGACGAAGCATGTAACCACCTAAAGCACAGGAAGAGAACCAGGCAAATTTTTGTGAATAAAGTCTCATCAATCGTAGTCATCCAATTTATCAGTGATCTTCGAATGAGTTGATGAGTATAGACCACCTGTCCACAGTACATTCTTGTAAGCAAACTTGCACAGTTTCCTGTAACTCTCTCGTACCATGCTGCTGAAGATTTAGTCAAACAAAAACAAGGAATTGGGATTATTGGAAAGACTGACGAAAAATAAACACTGTTTGCTGTAAACCTCGCATTTTTATTAAATGTCAGCACTTCACGTCAAACACTTTCACACGTTCCGAAACAGCCTTGCATCGTAACAAAGGCCAAAAGTATACCGCATGCGTCCTCGCAAATCTCTCCTTAACCCTGATACGGGAATTCCAGTCGCGCGCAAAAATTTATCACAATGTATCCGTCATTACAACGGGCAAAAAAAATCGCACAGTAGCACCAAAACTGGAATAAAAAATGGAAGAAAAACGGGCAAGCAATCTGCACTAGAAACGCAAGACCTCTGAATCATTGGCCTTTCTTTTGGCCTTTCAAAATTCGAGGGGAAAGTCGACTTTGGCTTGGCTGCTGCAGTTCGTTAAAAACAAATTTGCTGGAATTCTCGCGCAATATTTTCAAAAGAATTGGACGAAATTTGAAATGCTCGCGTCAGAGAACTAAATAAAGGACAAAGCATGAAGCATTTCTAAAAAAAAAAAAAGGAATGGCACCCCGAACTACCGAGTTCCGAGACACGAAACTCAACCCTTTTTTTCCGCATGGAGAACTCCACAGAACCATGAGTGTTTTGATCTGGAGCCACCTTCACTTTTGATAAATCATATGCACGCGAATATAAGACGCACCTTAAATTTGTTTGCCTTTCAAACTGAAAGAAATTACCTAATTCATGTACGTCACCCTTTCACTTTCTCCGCAATATGTGGAGAACTATTGTACAGAACGGGGTGGACCACGAAATACACCAACTTTATAATGACAATTTCAATTTGAAAAGCATTGGATTAGAATGACGAATTGTGCAGGGAAGTGTTCGAAAGTCTTTTGAAGTAAAATCAACGTTGAAAGCATTACTATGCTGACAACCAAGTTACTTTACGTGAAGCAACACATGCTTTTTCACTTTGGCTCACAAACACGTATATTTTTTGTAATTCGGCCAGATGATGCTTTATATTAGTTTCAGGTGTCAAAAGAATGGCGTTGGAAGACGTGAATGATTCGAATGGAAGCACATACATAACCCAGTACTGTACTCAACATTCGAATGCAAGCAACAGCAAGTCTTTCGGAAGGTTAAACTAAGGATGCGTCTTACATTTGCGTGAATGTGATGATTTGACACCGAAAAATCACTTCATTCGGCCCGAAATGCAGCTTAATCATCGCCAGCTCATTCTTCCGCATTCTCGACATTTCGTAACGATACTTTAAACAAACAAAAAATAAATTGGTATCTGGCACTTGCTGGTCCACTCCTCCGCCGTTTACCCTGATCAGCTCAACATTTTCTGTCCACATTTTCATCTTCTTTCGTCACATCACAGCACGGTTCGGAGACGAACAACAACAAAAACACTTGGTATAAATAAACGGGACGGTATCGGCTAGTAAAAGGCCGGGTTCGTGTGCTCGATAATACAGCGCTTGCAGAACTTCTTCACCGTCCGGTATCCATCCACCGTGATGCAAGTGTCCTGAATGTTGAGCTGCTGCAGTCCCCGGCAGTAATACGCAATGTACTGTATGCCCTTGTTGGTGATGACGTCGCAGCTCTTGAGACTGAGTTTCTTGAGGTTCGGGCAGTACTGCGACAAAAACCGGAGTCCGCGGTCCGTAACGTCGCATTTGCCAATGTCCAGGGCTCGAAGGCGCGGACACGATCTGGACAACACTTCCAGAGCGTTGTCAGTGATGGCTTCGCACCCACGCACATTCAGATATCGGAGCTTGTAGCAGCGCCGAGCAATGTGTGCTAGGCCGACGTCAGTCACTTGCTCGCACTTGGCCACGGACAAATAGCGGAGATTCGGGCCCAGGCTCGACAGCTTAGAGAGGCTGACGTCCGTGACGTGGACGCAGTCGGAGACGCTGAACTCGCGGAGCAGCTGGCAGTAGATGGACACGGAATTAACTCCGATATCTGCAGAAGAAAAAAAAACAAGCACGAGACAATCAGTATGTTTCATCTTAACGCATTGGAAAGACTGAGCATAATCAAACAGGCCCAGGTACAGTGCAGTAGAGCCTCAATCATCCCGGCTAATGAACAGATGGCCTTCTTCCTGCGGCCGTGCGGCATTTAATCGAATACCGTATAAAATGGACTTTTGCTAGTTCTAAAAAATTCAAAAAGCAGTTCAGAAATTTTACATAGAAATTAGGATATATAGTTCAGTACACTATTCGCTTAATGAGCGGAGTTAGAATTGTTCGAGTTCGTGAATTATACAGTATAGTCAAGTATAGAAACCACTGCAACATTTCAAGAAAAGGAGTAATTTTATTAAATTATCAGGTAATGATTTTCGTCAGGCAAATGAACCAGGTAGCTTATTCAACCTGGCAGTGCGACAAAAGATGTCAAGGTACAGAAAAACTAGTGGCTATTCCACACATTTGAAAAAAAAAGCAGTTTATTTCTTTTAAAAAATGTAGGCTACTCTGTCGTTTTTAATGGGAAATAAAAGCCAAGCTCGTATCGTTCAAAGTATTTGACACGTTCGTGTTTCGCCCCGCTCGAACAGGGGCAAATCTAACCCACTCTCTCAAAAATTGTTTTGTTGGAATGACACTGCTCTATAGTGCTGCAGAGTAGACTGACACAGGTACATCGTTCAGAATGCCAGCATCATAAGGCTTTGAAGTAATGATGGTACGAACCAGTTATTCGGATGCATCGTCGCAAGTAGAGGTAGAGCAGCTGGGTACAGACGCTGACGACGGTAGTCAGGCCCTTGTCGCCCAACATGTGGCAATCCGTCAGGTCCAAATACTGGAGACACATCTGCTTCGGTGGCAGACACGGTGGGATGGACAACGGAGATGGAGACGACGACGAAGAGTCCACTTGTGACTCGGAATGACTACCAGAGCCTCCTCCGGGACTCGGCACTGACCTTGTCTTCGAACCCCCGACAAGACCGTCCATGTATTGCAAACTCAAACAAGTTATTTGAGAACAGCCTGGAGAGAGAGAGAAAAATGGGAAATACAGTCATCAACTTCAGGAGTGCAAAAGAATTTCCAGCTTTTCAAGCTAAATAAACCGGTCTAAATATTTATAACTTGAATCGCTTCGGCATTGAGACAGCAATTCAGACTGACTCTAATCCGACAAAAAGATAAAAAAAGTAAGCATCTTGACCTCTGATCAGAAAGAGATCACAGGATTAGAGTGCCCAACAAAAAAACCCATGACTAAATTTTCAATTTCAATTTTCCATGGAATTTTTCAAAGATGGCACCCTCTAAAAGGTCAGAAATTGACTTTCCGCACATCCGGACTAGAAATATCATTGATTAATGCAATCTAGAAATTTACTTGAAGAAAATACTGGCCTTCAATCGATCACCTTCTGAAACTTCAAAAATGTATGGCCCAAATCGAAGAGAAATTAAAATTCTGACAGGTGATTCCCCAAATAATCCCACAAGGGACTAGGACCGAAGGAACTCGATACTCCAGCAGAAGTACTGTTCCTAGATAAGTGTAACTTGGGACTTTGTTCACGTCCCGTATTTCAAGACAACAACTTGAACATGGTGGGCAAAAGTTATTCTTACCGGAAAAATCGAGGTGTTCCAGGTCTAGGCATCGGTGGCTCAAGTGCACCAAGGCCTGGTCCGTGAGGTTCGGGCAGTTGCGCACTTCCAAGTGACGCAGTCTAGGGCATTTCCTCGAAATGGCCGCGACGCTGCGATCTGTCAACTTGGAGCACCCGTTCAACGTGATCTTCTCCACTTCCGTTGCCGGCATCGACGACGACGAGTTTCCATTCAATGCATCACCACGACTCAGCAACCGCAAAACCGCCTGCACACAACAAAAAATACACATAGAAATGAGATTTGAGACAAACGAATCTACACCGAAATAAGTCTTCCGCGAGATTAACCGTAATATTCTCAAGCCTGAACGAGCATTGACATGTTTGCAGAACTTCACCAACTCAAACGGAAAAATATTCCAACAAACCCAATGATCTAGAAAAATCACAATTTGAACAGAAACCACGCCCAAGGATGTTCGCTAAGGTTCAAACAATCTTTGAGACAGCTCATTGCACCTTGCACGTACCCGATGATTCACAGTCGTTTAGACAAAATCAGAATTCAAAAGGGAATCGCTTTCTAAAAACTGATGAGACGTTGAAGACCGAACCCTGAAGAATGTTCACAGTACAGGTTGACTCTCTCCACAGCCATTTTCTCTGTATAATGAAGCATAATATGTCCGACATACGATTCTCTCCCCATGTTACAGAAGTTCCTCAGAACAAAAGTCTCTCTAGATTCTAGAACGATATTTTTTTCAGGTCTTTTGAATTTCGTGGGAGGATGAGTCCAACCGTATTAATTAATCATTTTGAAAATCGGCATCTCGATCAAGAATAACATACGTTAAACAAGTTTTCGAGTCACACCCAAATGCTGTAACAGCATCAATCAGGCAATTTCGCCTTACGTGTCTATCCGAGTGTCGCGCCATGAGTTTCCCATTCCAGCCGCAGCCATAACCCCAACCACAGGTGGGTGAACCCCGTGTGGCGCCCGAACAAGTTTTCGCGGTCAAGCCCGAGGTCATTCCGAACGGATTAAAATAATTATTTAAATTAGCGGGGAAATGTCCCGAGTGGTTTCCAGACAGAAGGGGAGAGAACATACAGTACATCCAATTAACCCCACAGGGGGTGGAAGAGAAACAATGGCCCCCCATCAACTCCCCACCCCCCCCCCCTTTTTCGGCGTAACAAGGCCATGCGTCAACTTGGCGTGACAAAAAGTATCTTCCCTTGAAATAAAATGACGATGAGGGCTCGCATTAATTGCAGAAACAAGACCCTAATCCCTTCCGCTGATGGCAATTAGTCTCCTCCTGCAATAGTCTCCAAGAGAGAGAGAGAGAGAGATATTCACTAAAAAGAAGTCTCGGATTTTCCTATACTTCATCCATTCATTCACCCCCTGCTTTTCTCGTCGCCTCATTTCCCCCTTATTCCCCACCACGAAGAGGAGAAAGAAAATTAGGGAAAGGCGGCGCAGGAGTTCCTCGACGAATACCAGCTGTCGTCGAGCATTCCTCGACGCGCATGAGAAACGACGCGGAATGAGGATCAGGCATGCAATGTCGTTTCGCTCGATCGTCCTTTTTTTTTGGTGGTGTTCTTTCCACAAAACCCTCGACATGGCCTGGATCTGGATGTGACAATGGGCCTTCAGAAAGTTCACAAAACCGCAGTTCATTCCTTTTCTATATGGATCCTGGGGCAAATCAAGATTCCAGATGAACCCTCCCCCGGGATCCCCATAAAAAAAAAGTTTAAAAGTTTTCGGAGGACTGTTTCCGGAAACTGATTCGCGTAATTCTGCCTACGATATATTTTTATGGATGCACCGTTAAAAGGTTCAACAATGGCATAAACATTGTCAATTTCTCTGAATATTGAAAATATGTTGGAAGAAAAATATGCTTGCTCAGAACATGATCATTGGACGTGATTACAGCGCCTTTGACAGAAAATAAAAAAAAAATACTTCCAAAACCCGAATAGTGAACCATTGATGATGCAAAGAATTGATAAAGATCGAGATAACGCGAAAGGCAAAATTTGTTTAAAATGTACAAAAATTTGTGCGCGTTTTACTGCAAGTGAATATTGGGTGCTTCCATATTTCCAGCACCGATCACACGTTCATGTCCTTTGTTGTGCAAGAATTGAAATTCAATATTGCTGCGACTGGCGAAAAAAAAAATATATATATATAAAGCCTCCCGACGCAAGAATTGATAGAGACAGAAAGCAACTCATGATAGCTAGGTACTATACTGTAATTTGAAATTTAGGGGAGTTCTGTGAGTTACGGTACCCTGAAAATATTATTCTCAAAATAAGTTTCAAAATGTTCGTCTGATGCAAAACGTGGTGGCACCGATTAAAAAAAAATCCCACGATCTCATATGTTCTCAAGTCAGAATCCCCAAGAAAAGTCTGATTTGAATTCGTTTTCCGACATTTTAAATTTCCGCCTAAAATCCTAAAAGAAAGCGTAAAAATTCCAAGTCAGTAGAAATACTGTACTTCCATTCATGTACTGTACAGTAAATATTTTTTATGAGGCTGTATACATTCATGATTATATTGCATGCAAGCTATAATTTGAGCGATTTGTTTCGAGAAACCCCTCGAATGTTCCAACAAGATAAAATTCAACAAAAAAGAAAGCCTTCAGCACTTGCTTCCCAAGAATGCGGATTCAAAAAGTGCTGCGAGTTTCTTCAGCAAGAAACGTCGGATCGTATATGTTTTTATACGCGCAGTATTTCTTACCTTTTTTCCACCCCGTGGAAATAATACGCGAGAACCGCTTCTCCTTTCTATACACCGTCGACTCGCATGACGTCGCGATGTCCCTGCGGATTCCGACGGCGGAAGAAGGAATGTCAAGTATTTAATTAGCAAGCTGTTTGAGTCTCCCCCCGGGGGGAGGGGGGTTTTTTATTTTCCCCTGATGGCGAAACCTGTTCGAAGTCAGGCATATCGAATGAAGCAATGGCGCCCGGGGCGAGAATAAGGAAGGAGAAACAAAAACAAGACAGAAGAGAAATAACACGAGAAACAAATGCACGTCAGAGCACCTGCTTATATTTCCCGGAAAGAATGTTCCGTCTTTTCGAATTCTCTTGTTTTTTTTTCATTTAGGTTTGCTTTTTTTGCGTATAAACACGACGATTAAAATGAAATACAGTAAATAAAAAAGAGAACTTGGCAGTTTCGTTCACCACCATATTGTGTTTATAGGATGTCTCGCGTGATCCTTAGGCCATCAGCTGCTGATGGCTTCCAAATCGCCACACAGGATTTCGCAATTGCAGTAACCCGGCAATGTGCAAAATTTCATCCCGCTAATTCTCTCTTCTTTTTTTTTTTAAATCCTACTAAATTATTCTTCACATCGCCGTCACGTTCGCGAACTCGTCCCAAGATCCAGGTATGAAAAATATGATGAAATATATCATAAATAAATTTTCTCATCTGACAAAAAATTAGGTACTGTACTGTACTGTACTTACTCGAGTGAAACGCGGATCGGGGCTTTGCACTTGAAAATTTTGCGTAAAATCGTAGTCCCTTGTATTGACTCTAAAACCAAAATACAGGTGAACCTTAATAAGTCGAATACCCCCCTAAGTCAAATTTTTTCAGGTCCCGATCTGAATCCCATTAGAAACAATACATTAAAAACTCCCTAAATTGAACGCTTTTCCCCTCAAACCTCCATAAGTCAAATTTTCTGTGGCCATTATTTTCTTGACCCAAGAAAGAAAAAAAGCAATAAAAACAGAAATGCGTGTGTTTTAAAGAAAGTGAAAGACTTGATTGGGCAAATGAACCCCTGCCTCCAAGTTCAGCAGCCTTTTCAACTCATTTAAGAAGCCATTTAAGCCCCAGAATATCACCATTTGCATTTTTTATTATTCCAAGTTTCCCCGAAAAAAAGGGCTTTGTATTATAGTTCAAACCTATGTAATTCAAAACCTCCCAAAGTCGAATTCTTTTGCAGGTCCCTTGACATTCGACTTAGAGAGGTTCAACTTTCCAAAAAAATAGGAACACCAGAGGTTGAATCTAGGCATGACTTCAACCTGAATCGAAGTACATTTTAGTTTTTTCCATTACGATAAGTTCCTCTGTTGAACTTTGTCCAAAGTTTCCCCCATTAGAATCACGTATAATGCCCCCTAAACTAAAACTTTCTCACTTTTTCCTTCGAAATAAAAAATAAAATAAAATATATGTACGCGGTACTCAAGTATATACGATAGTCAGCAGAAAAAATAGAAAAAGAATTCAGCAAAATTCCCTCGAACATTCCACCACACACAACAACCCAAGCCATATATAATATCTTCAACAAACCCAACAAAGAATAATCAATATAAAACGCCAACCAACTTTTTTTTCCCCTCCGTACGATAAACAAAACAAATATCCTCAATAAATACCGCAAACAAAACCGCACCTCGACAACAAAAGCCAGGAACTGAAAAAACGCCGCAAAGGCCACATTATTCGAACTCTCTCTCTCTTTCTCCACATCACCTAAATGCCTCTATATCAGCAAAATATATATTCTGTATATATATATATATATACTGCATTTATAAAGGGCAAAAAAAAAAAGAAAAGAAAGCTACAAACAAACCTAGAAATACCGGTCACTGATCGTAACTAGAACCTTCCCATGATTCCCCTCCCCCCCAATCTACCTTTTCCAAGAAAAAGAAAGCCGCAAAATAATGATGCATAAAATACTGTAAATGCATAAATGAAAAGCAACGAAAACAAAACGTCGAGGTATAAACGAAACACCGACAGCGTCACATGCAGAGACCGAGGGAGGGACAGAGAGAAAGACACAGACAGACAGAGAAGAATACTGTTCCAAGTGCAATGGAACATTTAAAAAAGAAAAAAAAGAGAGCGAGAGAGAGAGGAGGAAAAAGAGACGGAAAAATGCGTAAAAATAAAAAAAATTAAAAAAAGAAACAACAAGCGATGCTACCTAGATTACAATGACGATAATAGGAGCGGTGCGCGGGAAATATATGGACAGGTTTTTTGTAAGTACCCGAGTATGCCGCAAGCGCGCGCGCAACGTCGCGAGTTCCCTTCTCGAGGACCCCGACGCGGGCATTCTTGGTCCCAACCTCTCACAACGTCAGCGACAGCGGGGGGATGACGATGATAAATAAATAAATAAATAAATGAATAAATAAAATGACGATAAAAAACCCGTGGGGAGGACGAAGAGCGCGGCGGAGGAAAGTCAAAGAATAAGCGAGAGGAATGGAAGAAGAATAAGGTCCAGATCAAAAAGAAGTACACGGTCGGCCCAGCGAAAAAATAAAAATAAAAAGCATCCGACCCCGGGCAATGCAAATAAATTAGCAAATGGATCATTCTTATATCCACGTCATTATTGCAGTTGAACCTCAGTAAGTCGAAAACCTCCCGGTGTCAATTTTTTTTCTCCCCCAGGTCCACCATTTAATTCCCTTGGAAAAAATGCATTAAAATCCTCTCCAACTCGGAAGACTTTCCTTCTCAAACCAATAACAATATATTCAACCCCCGTCTAACGGTCTTGATTCGTGCAACGGACAAACAAGTCTGTTGGACGAATTCAATAATATTAAAAAAATTCAGTTTCCAACACTAATTTTAAAACCAAAAGAAGTCTGTTGGGCGGATTTTATTATTTTGAGCGGGAGGAAAAACTGCCTGCAGAGCTGGTCTGTTAAGCGAAAATCCCTTAGGCGGGGGACACTTGATATTCTTCAGTAATCCAAATGACCACGTAAAGAAGGGAAAATTACGAGTTGAACTAATTTTTCCGTCCTTCGCGCTCGAAATATCTGCAATTTTTCCTTCCCTTCCGGAAAATTTTAGCTGTATTTCCGGCGCATAGGCCGCACTTTCCTCGAAACATTTTCTGTTTTTCAAATTTCCGCGGCCTATGTATTCCTCCTAACCCGACACAGCAGCTGATAAATCCGGGCAGCGGCCTATACATTGTAAGCAC